CTGAGACTCTGGGTAGAATTGTCCCTTGCCTCTTCCTAGCTTCTGGTTGTGACCAGCAATCCTTTGCATTCAGTGGCTTCCAGGTGCATCTTTCCAGTCTCTGCCTCTGTCATCAGACTGTGTTCCTCTCCCTCCTTCCAAGTAGACCAGTTACATTGGATTAGGGACCTCATTCTAATTTGACTACATCTGCAAAGACCCTATTTCCAAGTCTAGTTACATTCAGAGGTCCAGGATTTAAGATTGTAACCTCTCATTTTGGAGGACATTTTTTCAACCCATGACAGCCCCTAAGTGCCAGCTGATGTTTGCCCAGCCTTATATGCAGAATCATTAAGAACAAAAATAAGTAGTGAAACTCTAGAGAGTAAGCTTGTTCTTCTGAAGTATAATGTTAGACATTTTTTCCTGTCAGGCTATAGTAAGGCCCACCTAGGAAATCAGCGCTGATATTTGCAAACAAGAGGAACTATTAGCCATTAATGACGTTAAAAGGAAAGGGTACTAAAGATGGAGGTTTTTCACAAACCGCAGAAAAACCATCAAGAATGTATGGATGGTTTGACAAGCAGCCAAATGTCCACAGCAGTTATTAGCTAAAAATTCATAATCTACTAATTGCCTAGATTAGTCCATGTGTACCTGTCAATCAAATCTTATAGACAGACACCTCTATAGGAACATCAACAATCTTAGATAACCAATCTTAGCAATCATACAAACAACGAGTTACATACAAATAGTGCTCAGCTATTAAGAATAAAAATAACATAATACTCATTTTGTGACTCATCAGTTGAATAACTTGACATATGAGCGTAACTTATGCAGATTAGAAAATGATTCTTCATTACCAATTCAAAAACATATAATTTTAATAGAATTCTTCAGATACTGTTAGTGAAGTAATCAATGACTATTGGAATTAAATCAGTATCATGAATGGTCTAGCCTTCCATAACATTTTTAATACATCATTTAAGATATGTGATGTATAAGACTAGTCTCACTTAGTAAAGTCATATAAAGACATATAGGGTGCACTGAAGTACATGTGTTGATTTGAAAGGGTTGTAAGCCATCACCTTTAAGAAAAATTTAAGAAATAAGGTAGTGAGTAGTGATATGACCATAACAATATCAATGTATTTGGTATCCCCATCATTAAAGTTTCTTGATGACTTTTTAAAAATTAGGTATTTATTTTATTGAAGTATCGTTGATTTACAGTATCATATTAGTTTCAAGTGTACATCATAGTGATTTTTTTTACAGTTTATACTTAAAAGTTATTATAATAGCTATAATACCCTGTGCTAAAGACTATATTCTTCTTGCTTATCTAATTTATACATAGTAGTTTGTACCTCTTCATCCCCTACCCCTAACTTGCCCCACCCATTTTCCCACTCCCCTGCGGTAACCAATAGTTTGTTTTCTCTATGATTCTGTTTCTGTTTTATATATACATTTGTTTATATTGTGTTTTAGATTCACACATAGTGATACCATACAGTATTTGTCTTTTTCTGTCTGACTTATTTCACTAAGCATACACAATATTCCCTAGGTACATCTATGTTGTTGCAAATGGCAGAATTTCATTCTTTTTTATGTCTGAGTAATATTTCATTGTGTGTATATTGTATATATGTATGCCGTATCTTGGCAGTTGTAAATAGTGCTTCTGTGAACATTGAGGTGCATGTGTCTTTTTGAATTAAGTTTTTTTTTTTTCCAGATAAATACCCAGGAGTGGAATTGTTGGATCATGTGGTAGTTCTAGTTTTAGTTTTTTGAGAAACCTCCATACTGTTTTCCACGGTGGCTGCATGAATTTACATTCCCACCAACAGTGCACAGGGTTTCCTTTTCTCTACATACTCTCCAACATTTGTTATTTGTCAGCTTTTTGATGATAGCCATTCTGACAGGTGTAAGGTGCTATTTCATTGTTGTGATTTGCATTTCTCTAATAATTAGTGATGTTGAGCATCTTTTCATGTGCCTGTCAGCCATCTGTATGTCTTCTTTGGAAAAATGTCTATTCAGGTCTTCTGCCTATTTTTTGATTGGGTTGTCTATTTCTTTGATATTTAGTTGTATGAGCGGTTCCTATATTTTGGATATTAACCCCTTATTGGACATATCATTTGCAAATAGTTTCTCCCATTCTGTAGGTTGTCTTTTCATTTTGTCAATAGTTTCCTTTCATATCAAATTTTCATTTCAAAATGATGTGTTAGAATGAGGTCCAATTTTAAAATGACTTATCTGAAGTCACAGAGATAAGTGAGTATCATCATTTGTGTAATACAAATAAAATCCATTTCATTGAATTAGCAAGATGTAGACAATGCTGAGACATTGAGGCTCCATTTTAGGCCAATCAAGAGATTGAGCTGTGTGATTTTAAAGAAAAAAATCAGTTACATAATCTTCAATTCTTACTGGTTAACTTCAGAGGCTTCTCAAAAGCTTATTAGTGGCACAGCTGTTGGATATGATTACAATGAGTATCTCATGATTAAAATGCCCAATATGAGAGGAAAACTTTGAAAACAAAACCTGAAATTTACCTAAATATTTGAATATCTAATTATTATAGCTATGGTTTAATATGTACATGCAATTATTATAACAACTGAATATACATAGTTATAAAAAATCAGGAATAAAAACCTTTCACTGTAACTGCAGTATGGTGACATCATAATAAAAATAAACATAGTTATGTATTTAAGAAAAAACATTTTTCCCAGTTCCTAGTACAGGGTTATTAAAACTTCTGCAATTTCCTGAATGACAAGTCTTTTGTTATTCATTACAAGCTCCTTTCAACCATATCTGAGTTTATGCTAGTGAGGTGACAGGGTAACCCTTGGAGGATGGAGGCTGGATGTCAGAAAAGCCAAGGAATGATTAGAGGGTTAGAACTTTCAGACCCACTCCCAACCTGTGAGAAAGAAGGGACTCTGGAGGTTGATTTAATCACCAGCAGCCAATGATTTCATGCATCATGCCTACCTAATGAAGCCTCCACAAAACTCCTAAATGATGGAGTTTGGAGAGCTTTTGAGTTGCTGAACACATCAAAGTTCTGGGAAGGCGGTGAGCCCAGAGAGCACATGGAAGCTCTGCACCCTTTCCCATAATTTAAATCCATGTGTCTCGTCCATGTGGCTGGTCCCAATTTGTATTCTTTGTAATAAACCGTTACAGTGAATTGTTTCCCTGAATTCTGTGAGCTGTTATAGCAAATTATTAACCTTGAGGAGAGAGTCTTGGGAATCCTCGATTTGTAGCCAAGTTACGCAGAATGTAGGTAACCCTAGGACCCACTAATTGTGGTTGGAGTCTAAAGTAAAGGGCAGTCATGTGGCATTGAGCCCTTAACCTATGAGGTCTGCACTAACTCAAAGTAGTTAGTATCGAAATTGCTTAATATGAGGAGAAAAACCACACACTTAGTGTCAGAATTGTTGTGAGTAGTAAAGAAATATTTATTTTAATAGCTATTCAATAAGGCATCATAGAACTTCAAAAAATTAAGTAGTTTTTCAATTAAAAACTTTGTGAATGTTCTTTTCCCTTTGATCTACCACAGTTGGCTTACATTCAGACTAAAATACCATCTGTCTCATAGATCAAGACATCTTAATACCTTGACAGGACAATCTTAAGGGAAGCTCAGTCACTGTTGTCCATAATTACTTTCTTAAAACTACCTGATCTCTTATGACATGATGAGGTATGTAAAGAAAATATTATTTTAGTAAAATGAATACTGGTGAGTTAAAGTGGTGTCTTTAAAATTGTATTCAGAATTATTTAACATAATGACTTGTTAACTTCATGTTTTTCAGAACTTTGTGTATATAAGCATGAGTATTACCAGATTCTGATATTTTGCATGTGAAGGTTGTTAGTTATTCAAGGTCATACTCAAATATCTTCCATCTGTCTTACCACGGATGACATTTTCTACAGTGAACAGGCATTTGTAGGTGTTGATTTATACATCTCAAATTCTCTTAATTTACATCCAATTCAGATTTAACCCGACAAACATCTTTTAACATTACAATACATATCTAATATTATCTTAGATATGGCTAGGTCAGTTCATGGGTGAAATAGATGGTGGCTTAACCATGTAATTTACTGGCAATAGTAAACTGGCCTTAAAACAAAAAACCACAGAGATCTCTCAACATCTTTTAAGGCAGATAAGACACATTATTTAATAAGTGAATCAGTTTGCATTTATTAAATTCCTAACATGAAAATATGAACAAGAACAATTTTGGAAACTGCAGGAGAACGTAAGCATACAAAATGCTTCCACTGTCATTGTCATTACACTGTAATCATGGAGACAGAAACACTAAACATAAAATAGAGAATCATATGACAGTGCCTAATTACATCCTATAATAGTCTAAAATGAGCTTCATTTTTTAAAGGAACTGTCTTCGGTAGGTCTGTTAAAATGTAAAAAGATAGGAAATTTTCAACTAAGTAGCTAAATAGTTATCACTGCTGCTTTAACACTGTGAAGTTATTAAACAGGCAAACGTGTAAATATTGCATCGAAATCTGTTTCATCTTTGTTTAGGAGGGATAATTTCTCTAAACCTGAGTAAGAATGAGGACACGTACTTACGACAGATTCTATCTGTCCAATAACAATTAAAAATTGGAGTAATTTGAGCATATAACTTTGCATTCAATAAAAAAAAAATATTCTGGAGAAATATCCTACTGAGTCCCAATCTGCTGAACTGTGCTGTGATGGTTGAAAACAGAGCTTGCGATAAAAGTCTCCAAGCAAAATTCAGCACTTGGGAAAAGCAAAGAGATAGGACACTTTGTTTCTAGTACAGAAGGAGGGTTAAAGTGACAGGGCCCATACAGTTCAGCAACACACAAATGTTAGTACATTCCAGTCCTTAAAAGGCTCCAGAAAGTTGTCTACGTATCAAAGAAAAAGCACCTACCCAGTACAGAGTCAGCTGCTGTATCTGGTGATAGAAAATTGCTGACATACCAGCAACACTACCATCAAAAGATGAAGGTAAATCGTTTCTATATTCCTCGTGTTGGCAACTCTGGAAAAAAAAGCGGGGGTACAAAGCTTGCTTTCATATTCAAGACATTTGTGCTAACACTTTTATGTATACACTTTAAAATTGAGAATGAAGATGCAATCTATCAGTTGTATTATGGAAACTGCATTCACTTTTCTGTAGTGATTAGTTTATTTCTATTGTTTTAAAAAAAAATCTTTGTGGTGTACTGGAATTAGGTAGTTAAGGTTAGAAGAGAATGTTTCATGAAGTGAAATCTCAGTTGATTAAAGGAAGAGCCAGAAAGAAGATAAGTAGTGATGCCTTTAAAATTGTTTACTTAAAAAAGATAGAAAGGAAAACATTACCCTCTTCCCTCTGCCTTTCTTTGTCTCTCTCTCTCTCACTGTTTTTTCCTCTCTCAGCCGTGGCACTAAGTACATGTCTCCCATCTACCTTTCCCTGTCCAAAGCTTGGAAAAAGTAAAACTCACACACTTGAATTGCAGAAAGAGAAATTTAAAATAACTAAAACTAAAATAAAGACATTTTGGGCAGTAACAGTAATAGATAGATGGCTCTTTGAGGTTGTATCATGTCTTTCCCTTCAGAGAAATATAAGTAAAGAATGAAATTCTGATTCCTCCTTCTACAGTTTAGACATAATACTGACAGAAAACTGAGGAAGGAATAGGGAACTTCTTGAGGTCTTGTCGCCTCAATTTTTAAAATTATCTGCATGGCAATCAATGGTAAAGTAGGAGCCAGAAGTATGTAAATAGATTGCTTAAATTAAATAACTGGACATATTTGAAGTGGTATTTAAAAAAAGTGAACTTTTTATTATCTTCTTATAAGTGTTCTATGACACTCTGTAGTTTGAAATAATACTCTGTTGGTAAAGGTTTTCATAACTCTACCCAAAGTGGAAATACGTGAAATAAGAAGGTTGCTATCTTAATAAGTAATTAATTTGTAGCTTAAAAAGGACACCTATAGATATGGTCTTACAACTGGCATTGAAATTAAGAAGCAATTTTATCTTCCAAGGCATTTTCAGCCCTTGACTATAAGGCATATTTTAATATATTTATTGTGTGTAAATTTCTTCAGTGTGTCCACAGTTCCTATATATACCTGCTAGAGAACACATAGTCACTCAACAAACAACTCTTCAAAGAATGATATGATGCAATATTTACAACAAACTCTGTGGGTCTTCATTACTGATTATATTGTCAGAGAGAAGGTTACTGTCCTGTCGCAGAAAGAATGCAGAAACAAGACATGGAGGTCAAGAAAGCAAAGCAAGGATTTATTTAGGGATAGATATTATGCTCTCCAGGGAAGAGCGGGCAGACCTAGGTGGGTCACTTCCCTGAGTTTCTTTGGCAAGCTGCTTATATGGGTGTAAAAATGAGTGGGCAGAATATTCAGTGTCCGGGAGGGGTTTGGGGTTATCTTTCCTGATCTTCAACCCAGCTCCATCTTCCCTGGGGGGATGGGGTTTGTCTTTATTTAGTCTTGATCAGAAAGTCACTTGAAGTCATGATGAGCTAAAGGTTACATTTGGGTGGTGGGGATTCCTTCTTGCCCCATCTTTCTTTTTTTGCCTCCAGGACATTTGTCAACCCAGAATGTATGGTCTCTTATCCGTCTGGAGGTTCCTGCTTTTCTTGGTCTGTCCAAGGACCCTTGTTGTTCATAAGATGTATGGTTTTCTGCCATTTGGCCCATCTCCCCCTTTCCCTGCTCACATCTAGCTACCAGCCTGCTCTAACAATGTCCACCCAAACCAAATGTGGATGAAGAAAATACTATTAATCAAGCACTAATAAAATATGATAATATACAAATTAGTTTCTCCAGCTAGTGTAATTCTTGTCAACTCAAATACATAGAGTGGATATGAAGGAGCCGGGCTAAGTGTGTGATTGGTAGGAACAGGGGACTTGACAGAAAAAGCAACAATAACCTGATAAGTTCACTGAATTTGCTCTTGAAACAGAAACAACAAAGGAAAATCAACATGTCTTTGTTTAACATATAGAACCTGGTACCAGGCTGTATTTGCGTTTCTTATCTGTTTTCTTCACCAGCAGTGTAACACCGCCCATATCACACATAGAAAAAGAAATGTGCAGTAATGAATAAAGCCTCTCCATAGTCACTGGGGCACAGCAGCATGGCAACGGAGAGCAAACGTATTCAGTGGTTATAAGAACTGTATATGACTTTTAGTGTTGACACTCCAAAAAGTAAATATGAAAAATGATTTCTCAGTGATACAGCAAGACAATATGCCCTAATAGTCTGAACCTATGGTGAATTACATAATTTGTAGAAATGTATGTCATACTATATCTTGCTTGTGTGTGTTTATGTTTTTATATAGTGTTTGCATGTGTTGTGAAATTATTAATATTTGCTTAATTTTAGTGGTTCATCTGTAGGTTCTTTGGAGTTTTCTAGGTGTATCATGATGTGGCTACAAATTCCTTTTTTATACATTTTGTTGTTGTTAATATTATTTTACTTATTGCAACGGGCTAGGTCTCTGTCAAAAGCTGTGCAGAAATGATGGCAGGCTTTCTTTCAGAAAAAAACCTATTTCAGTATTTTCCAATCAAGTATGATACCTTGATATGATTTATAGATATTTTTATAGGAGAAAAACTTAAAAAATTAATTTCCACTTGCATTCCATTTCTTAAGAAGTGTGAGGTTCTTTCAACATGAATTGACATTGAATTGTATTCACTGCTTTTCTCTTTGTGTATTGCAGTAAACATATTTTTTCCTTCCTTCATTAAAGTGAATTACATTATTATGCTAATTTTGTATTTCTTCAATAAACCTACATAGTTTGTATTTTTATTTTTATATATTGCTTCAATGTGTTTGCAAATATGTTGGAGAATTTCTGCATCTGTGTTACTGAGTGATATTCTGTAGGCTTTGTTTCTTATAGTATCATGTGTGTTTGCACACACACACACATACATGTACATATGTAGGCACATATGATCATATAACTGTTCCAACTTTTTTCTTGTGGCAGTTTTGATAAATGTTTCTCCTGGATTATTAGGACTCTTATTTTTCCTTTCACCCGAAGAACACTCTTTAGATTTCCTTTAGTCCTAGTATGTAGTTAACTAATAGTCTTTCTTTTTTTCCTGAACAGTATTTATCTCACTGTTATTTTGAAGGTTATTCTTATTGGGTATAGACTTGTAGGTTGGCAGTTTTTTTTTTATTCAGCAATTTGAAACTATCATTTCCTTCTTTTTTGTTCTTCATTGCTTGCTGCTGTTGTCTGCTCTCAGTGTGTCTTGTTGCTGATTTAAAAATAGTGGTATTTTTTTCTAAGATGGCTTACAGCACTCTGTTACTGGTTTTCAACAATGATACCATGATGTGTTTACGTGTGGCTTTCTTTTATTTTTCCTGCTCTTGAATCTGTGGTTTAGGGCCTTTCATTAGTTTTAAAAATCAACTGTTATCTCTTTAGATATTACTTCTCTGCTGGCAATCCATATATATAACTTTTTTATTATCTGCCATATGTCTTTTAATATCTTTTGTTGCATTATACCTTTTTTTCTTTCCTACTTCAATCTGTGTATTTTCTTTTGACACATCTCTCAGTCTACTAAATATTTTATCATTTCTTTTTTGTTTTCAAAAATAACTACTGAGTTTTATAATTCAGCTATTGTATTTTCAGTTCTAGTTTTTCCATGCAGTTCTTTTTAAAGTTTCTAGTTCTTTGGAAATTTTCCTAGTCTCATCTTCTATTTCACTGATTAAGCATTGTTATTCTAATGTTCATAGTCATTAAGTCTCTTATGTGGTCTCCTGTGAGTCTGTTTCTTTTGATTGTTTTATCTCTATTTTTAATCAGGTCTTCTATGCTTGGGTATTTTTATTAATTTGTGGAAATTGTGTGTAAACAATATTGAAGGTACTTTTAGGTTCTGGAATGATGTACTTCCCAACATTGTAAAGTAACAATAAATCTAAAAGAATAGAATATTTTCCTTAAATTCAAATAATCTGATGAGCAAGTATGAACTTAGTAGGTTACATATGATTACTTGAACCAGAAATGACATGATATGTGAAGAATCAAACATGATGTGGGGAGGGATTCATTGGAATGATAATGGCTTTTATACTGTATGAGTCGGAGCTGTAGAAAGGTGTTGAGTAGATGCTGATAAAGTTGACTTAAGTTTTAACAGGATTACTCTGGCTGCTGAGGGAGAATAGATTTTAGGTGAGTTAGGGCAGAAGAAAGAAAACACGTGTTTTAATAATACACTTGGGAGATAATGTTGATTTGGATATGGAGGTACTAGAGCTGGTGAGAAGTAGCCAGATACCTGCATCTTTTGTAGCATAGCAGGATTTGCCACCTCAAATATGCCACTTTCCAATAAAGAATAATTTTCAGCTGAAGGTAACTGAGAAGCAGATATAAGAATAGCTTTCTACCCTCTCCCTCTTTTCCTAAAAGCAGGACATACATTTACAAAGGTGCCCCTTCTCTTTTCTCTATAAAAAAGGGCCAAAGTTAATCACCAGAGACAACTTTAGACCCTTATCAACCCAAAGATGGCACCAGAGGAACCTAGGTAGCAAACTTCACTAACTAGCCTTTATCTACTATTAGCTTCCCCCGACGTATTTACCTTCTTAGCCTGAAGACCTTGGAAGTCTTAAACTATTTCTTTACAAATGTGTTTTTTTGATGTTGTTAAGGATTTTTTATAAGCCTGAGTTCTAAGCCACCTCTTATGTTACTCATCCCTGAGTTTCTTCCATGTATATAACACACCCCAGTCAAGAACCTAAGATGGGTAGAGAAAACATTTGTTCTCCCCAACACTTTTCAGATAGAAATATGATGTATTGCTGGTTTGGATGTGGAGTATGGGGAGAAGAAAGAAGGGCTTTAGCATTACTTTAAGTTTTTTGGTCTGGTAAACTGAAGTATGCAGACGGCAACACCTAAGATGTGGAAGAATTTTGCAGAAG